AAAACGAAAACTGCTAACCCTAGAATATGTCCACAAGACCTATGAACCATAAATAGTAAGTGTCACATGCAACGTAAACTGTCACGTGACCATGAAGCGCTGAAACCGTAACAAGTCATCACCTCGTCCAATCCTCTCGTTCAAGGCTCCTAGATGTCACAGAATGCGATCGTGACACTGGATCTGTTTCTCCGTGAACTTGGCCGCGATGTGAGGCTGCTGCAAGACTTTATAACGCTGAATAGTAGCGTATACAGTCAGCACAATGTTATCAGGGAGTGTGCCTTTGGGATTCTCGTGAATCCCACGAGGATGATAGTCCTGAGAGAGTGCGAAGGCGAGGACGGCAGTGGCGTCGTCATTAGACCATCAATAAGGTTTGTAAATGGGAACGGATGGGTCAGGTGCATCTCTTGGAATTGCTTCGGCCCACGAGCTGACCTTAGAGCGTAGCTTTTGTAGGTCGGAGCGGTAATCGTCGGGCTTAGCACGAAGTAGGTTGCTTGCCGTTAGACGACGAGTGCGGTTAGGGTGAGGATGGTATGGGTGGTATCGTCCGTTGGGCAGAACGATTTCATTGTGTACTTGAGGTGCCTTACCAGTCAGTGCAGCGCTGTTCCTTTTGAAGGAAGGAAGCGGCTTAGGTGATAGAGGTGAAGTGAAATGGTATGAGGGAAGTGGTGTGGAAAAAGCCCTGCCCTGGGCGGATATATCTCTGGGTGAAAATGTGCGGCTACCAGTGTTAGACACTTGGTAGGGGCGTAAAAGGTCAGTCTTATTCTAATGTCACAGCACGCCAATGACAAAGATAGATAACCCAAATAAGGAGTCCCCTTGAGGGTCTCCTGGCTGAGAGCCTACAGCGATAAGCTGTGGCGATATGACGTGCCCACTGATGAGGCCGAGTCGCTAGTCACAAAGTAAGACTTACTGGCGAGGCGAGGGGTGCTATCACAAATGAGGATGATACTAGATATATATAGCACACTGAGAGTGTCTGGTAAGACCCCTCTGTGATGGTAGTGGAGGACGAAGGAGAATAAGACTGAGGTCTCCTCCTCATCTCGCTGGTCCTTATATGCATGATTGCTATGCTACTGTACAGTACTATCTAAGCGAGTCACACGCTATTCTACTGGTCAGTGCTACAATCGTACGATGTGTCCCAATTATCCCGATTGGCTGCCTAATAATAACCCGCAGAGACGGAGCTCCTCTTGAGCATGTAATATGGTGTCATGGCGATTGTGACATATGATGCCATGCCGAGGAGCTCGGTGTCACGTGACAATGCTGAGAGAGATATGAGGTCATGTGACTAGATGCCTTTATCTTATCTCTCATTAGGTCACGTGACTTCTTGTGCGACGAGAAATGATGAAAATAATATGCTCCTAATAGCATTTGTTCCTATAATGACTTGTCAGGTAAAAACTGTAACACCAGTCTTGTTTCAGATCTCAAAGCCATTGATGTTTCTTTCTCTTAGAAGGACATGCCACCTTTATAAAATTCTTAACAAATCTGTGGTAAAGTTTCTCAAATTTCAAAAGACTTAAACTTGCTTCAATATCCCAGCCAATTCATTATGCCCTCGACCTCCCTGGGTCCAATTGTGCTATTTTTTAAGATACTCCTTTAAATATATGTACTTAATCCTTGCTTATACAAGAAACATTTCTCTGATTATGTGAATAAATTATTTATCATCAAAGCACACTATCATATTTTCTCCCTGTATAAGATCTTCTATAATCTTTTTCGTCATTGTCTGAAAAGTATTTTATGCATTACAGAGACCAAGATACACAATAGTGGTCTGAAATGTCTATGGTGTGAGATGAATGCCAATTTTCTCTTGAGCACCTTCTCTGGAACTGATGTCAATGTGTCTCTGATACAAGTCCAATCTGGGGAAGATTCTGGCCTTTCCTAGACATTCAGCCATATCATTAATCTTTCTTGCTGACATTGTTAACATTTGCAGCATTACAGTCCTTCTGACTCTGACTTGATCAACCACCCCTCTAGACTGCTGCTGCATCCACATATATATATATGACCAGGCCTAATGGTGGAATAACTCTAAGTGTGTTTAGGAGTTTACAGGGCAAAGCCTTTTTCTCCACCATTTTACAGTGAGAAAAGCTGTCATGTGTGTGGTGTAATTAATATCAATGTTAAACTGAAACTTGAATAGGATACCAGATAAATACTAGGAACTTACTATTTCCACCTATTCGTGATCGGGTTGACATTTGATGGCATTGTATTTGTCAATAATTTGTGATGTGACCGGGATGAATACCAAAATGTTTGTTTCATCCAAGGTGCCTTCGCAAGGCTCACATATTTGGTGCTTACAACTTCGGTCGAAAATTGCTGAACTGTCAAACGTAGGGTCAGAGTTGCTTAGAAGGCACTAGTTCCTTCCATGCATCCAAGCTTTCGGTCCCACCTCTTAGAGTCAGCAACAGAAAGTTGCAGAAGACCGAATGAGTAGCCGAGTATCGGCGATCGGATTCTGCTATGGGTCAACGATTACACTGACATTTGCTAGCGGTATTTAATGTGAGCTAGAACCTGCGCAGTGGACTCTGGAGATGGAAACAGAGTTCGGATAAGGTCTTCATTCGTTTTCTGATGGTCTGATGATAGTCAAAAGATGAAGATTGGACCCGGAATTTGATTGTGCCGGCACCTTGAATATAGCCTCGCCCAACTTGGATCACTCACGATAAGCTACTTCAAATTCATATTAGACACTCGCTGCGCCTATTGACTTGATGATGTTATGATCAGACACCTTTAACATCATGCGACGGCTTTACCACTCACGGAACAGACGCTTTACGCCGAAATTTGCAAAGCTTTTGGTTCGGCAGTATCATCGGATCGACATCACAATCTGCCAGAACAGCCTCACTCCGGGTACCTGTGCGCACCATTACTTCGGATCGCTGCAATTTGTCCGGGAAATGCTTCGATTAGCGCCAACCATGTTTACTTTCACACAGATTCTTCGACTTCGATGCTCGCACCAGCGACCATGTTTTGTGACATGCGCAGGTATTCGAGTATAGGCGCTCACTTCCCGGGATCAAATCACACGGCCATGCTTCCTCTAGTAGTATTGCCCCGGTGGGCCTCTGTCAGCTCGACTATACCTTCAAGTCTCAAGGTCCCTACAGGCATTCACGTGTCCTTAGCATCGATCCTCTAAGCACCTCACCACGTACCCTCTCAGCAGCTACCAATGGATGACACGGAGAAGCCACCAATGCGAGATTGTGCAGTGACTCCTCCAGAAATTCGAACGGAGAAAGGCACTGTGTTTTGGCTCATATTTCTCTCTATATGCATTTCGCTCTTTCTCTCTGCTCTAGAACTCACCGCAGTCTCCACGGCCTTACCCACGATTGCGCATGATCTTCAAGCCACCGATTTTGTATGGGCAGGGTCGGCCTATGCTCTTTCGTCCACAGCGTTTCTACCAATGAGTGGGAATTTCGCGCAGATATTCGGGCGTCGCCCTGCGCTCCTAACGTGTCTCGCTCTATTCGCTCTTGGAAGCGGGATTTCCGGGGGTGCGACATCCATGCCGAAGTTGATTGCAGGCAGAACTGTTCAAGTCTTGGGGGCGGAGGCATTCAGTCGCTGTCCGCTATCATTTTATCCGACCTCGTTACCTTGCGCGAACGAGGGCTCTATGCGGGATTGTTTGGATTGTATGTAGCAACATCATCTTAACGTCCTCGCTAGACTGACTCCATGCTCAAGGACATGGGTAATTGCCAGCGTGATCGGGCCTATCGTGGGTGGAAGTCTCGCGGCCAATGGCCACTGGAGGTGGTTATTCTGTATGTACCCATCTCTCTATTAGTCTGCTCGTTTCCGCTAATTTAACTCAAGATCTGAACCTCCCTATCGCCGGACTTGCAGCTACGTTCGTTCTGGTATTCCTGCGGCTGCCAACTCCTCCGGGTACCTTTCGCGAGAAACTTCGGCGCGTGGATTGGATGTATGTAACAATCCAGATATAATTACAACGTCTAATGGCTAACGGCGAGCAGTGGCAATATGCTCATCATATCCAGCTCTACGTCTGTCATGATCGCTCTCACATGGGGTGGAGTCACGGCACCGTGGGCATCGTATCGTGTCTTAGTACCTCTTGTGCTAGGACTCGTGGGACTTGCGTTCTTCATATTATACGAGAGCATCTGGGCGATCGAGCCATTGGTGAATCCCTGTTCGTCCCTTCTTTACCGAGGCATGTGCTCATATTTTACAGGCGCCAATCTCACTATTATCAAACCGCACAAGTCTCAGCGGGTACTTGTCCAGCGTCGCCTCAAGTGCTATATCACTGACCAGCCCTACATTTTCCCAAGTACTTTCAGACATTCTTCGTCGGAGTCATTGCGCTCGGTCTCGTATGTATGTTATCAAACGATGTATATCGCGAATAAAGTGCTGATGTTCTTGGCCCAACTCTGGTCTAGACTACTTCCCCGTCTTCTGGCAAGGTTGTAAGGATGCTTCTCCAATTAGATCAGGCGTTCTTGGACTGGGCGTCGCTTCACTTGCTCCTGCATCCATCTTTGCTGGTGTTGGTGTCAATCGAACCCGGCGGTACCGCCCGCAAATGTGGGCTGGATGGTGTTTGATCATGATAGGGCTTGGCCTATATACAACCTTGACGGCCCACGTTTCTGAAGGCCGGGCAGTTGGCTTCAGCGTTATTGTCGGGGTCGGAATAGGGTGAGTAGCGATATACTGCAACTGACTATTGCTCGCTCTCCCTGCAGGTTTGAATATTCAACCACCATCTTTCCTGTGCAAGCTCCTTTATCAGTCACGCAAAATGCCCATGCGCTCACATTTCTGATGTTCATAAGGTCTTTCGCAGGGGTAAGCGTCTCTCCAATCATGATCACGACACTCCATCCACGTTCTAGTTGTTGATACTGATGCAGGTTTGGGGAGTAACCATAGGTTCTACAGTGCTACAGAACGAGCTTGTGCGACGCTTACCTTCGGGATTTCTCGCCAACTTTCCTGCCAGTGCTTCGATTGCATATTCACTGATTCCCGAAGTTCCGTACCTTCCTTCTCCGCTTAAGCAGGAGGTTCAAGCGGCTTTCGCGGAAAGCTTGAATGCTCTATGGGAGGTACTCCTTGGCGTTGGCGGGCTTGGCGTCATGTCTTCGTTGCTTATGAAGGGATTACCGTTGCACGGCGAGTTGGACAAAGATTGGGCTATGAGCGGTGAGACTTGATACTGTGTACCGACATGACATATTGGATATATCGGTCAATGGTTGATACTCACACTAGTCTGTACGTCGTGCATTCTATAACCGCTCGGCCGCTTCACTGCACCTTGTGCAGAACTGGCAGTTTGCGAAACATGCACTCAGAGACGAACACGATCGATAACTAATAATGTCCTCCGCATCCCTTCACATGACGTGGAGATAGCCCTGGCTATTTCGATAAATCATCAACGAGGAGAACGATTGATGTTGGTCCTTGTCAAGGAGAATTCTGAGAGGAACAAAGTGCGCAAGCACTGCTATGCATCTTGAGAACAAAAATTGTGTCCACAGCGACAATAGAACATGACATACATTCCAAACTAACGATATAAGCTATCAGGATTCGGTACCTCCACTGCTGTTTCTCATCGGCAATTTTTACATCAACGGTGAGATAATCCCAGGCAGAAATGCCTCCCCTCCCTTATTTTTCTCGTACCATTCCCAATCATGCGCGAGGAGAACATGAACGTGAGGCAACTTCAGCAGTTGTCCCACACGGCGGATGTGTTCCTCCGCCTCATCTTTGTTGGCGTGAGCACATTGCAAACGACCACTGGGATCAATCGTGAACGCGATGCTCTTCTCCCCGGTGAGGAGGCCAACGTCGTGTGCTGTATCTGCGGCTAGATATATCCAGGATCCTGCGGACGAGGTACGCGCGAGAACATTGATGTGGCCGGCGCAGTGACCAACCGCGTCGATGAGGAACAGGCTTCCGTCTCCGAAGTAATCGAAGGCACGAGGGAAAGGACCGACCGACGTGCTGAAGTTCTCAGCAGTGAGGGATCGAGTGCGATCTATCGGAACTGTGTCTTGCAGAACGTCTGACTGTGGGTTGGCAGGAAACCCGCCCTTCATAAGGCCCTCTCCCCCTTCCCCAATGATGAATGTGGCATTTGGAAACGCCGAAGGATCTCCAACACTACAGTCTCAAGTCAATCAATGACAGCCCTTCAACAGCCACAGCCGAGCGACTTACTGATCAAAGTGTAAATGGCTCAAGATAATCGTTGAGACCTCCTGAGGAGGAATCCCTCCCGACTTCAGAGATTCATCAACGCTTTGTGGTACTGTGACCGGCATCCACTTGGCAATAGCACCGCGGACTATCGGTGGATAGCTTTCAGTGTTTCGCCGAATGCCTAAGTCGAATACGAGATGCTCGCGGGTAATCGAGTGACGGAGAGAGAACGCAAGGGATGGGCAAGTCCGTATTTCTGACGGATCGGAGCCGGCTACGAAGAGCTGCAGAGGCAGGTGTATGATGCCGGCCTCCAAAGCAGAGACCTCAATGTAGGCCTGGTAGGAACCGGGTGGAGGCAAAGTCGCGGCCATGCTGACGGATAGCTATAAGTGCGAAACATTCAGCCGTCATATATGTATTCGTCGTTGCAGAGCTGTGACCAGCTTCTGATACCTTGAATGGGCTTGCGCTCCGAGGGTAGCGCCCGAGTGCGGCACCGGCCAATTGATACTGCTTCTCCGTTTCTGTGAGCATCCAGGTGGCTCACAGAGACGCCAAGCTGACGAATGATTTTAAAAGATCAAAATCGTGGTCACTTCCATTCTGTTAGCCTGCGGAACTATCGAGAAGATCCAGAGATGGCAAGAGCAAAAATAAATTTCCATAGATATTCGAACAAGGAGCATGCCTGAAAAGTCGGGGGTCATGCGACATATCATCTTAGGCGGATGCTGTTCCGGACAGCATTCCTTGCCAGCTTGACAGGAACCGAGAACTTGGCCAGCCAGTCGGAGGTAAGAACATAGCGATTTCTACACGTGAGTGCGCGGCTGTGCGCGGTGACTCTCGGGCTCTTTATCACATTCAATGGGATAGTCATCTCAGCGGCCCATCAGGCACGGTGAATGCTCTCTGAATATGAATGTGACCTTCCATGTGACGTCACCTAAAAAGCCATCCTCAGATGCAGGCTGGAGATTCACAATTCCCTTCGCCTGTGATACAGATATACACCATACCGTGCCATAATGTAGTGCATGTGCTTCACTGCATCCTCTTTTTCTCATTGCCCGTCAAATGGTATCATGGCGGCTGGGCGCTAAGTGCATCCAGATAGTGCAACAGCTTTGCTTACGTATGCTATCCGTTATCAGGTAACTATATGCGTGACCCAGCAAGCTGAAATATCCTGCTATACTACACGCACAAACACTGCCTCAAAGATCATTTGAGATATTCTCTCCGTTTGTCACCGATAAAGATCGTTCCATGTCTGGGTGAGAAACCAGTGAGCACCATGACGAGCGATTCCATCCGTATCAGGGGATCTGTCATGATTCATGATCATCATCGCCGCGTTCGCCAGGTGTCGGATGCCAGACGCATAAATCATGTCACTGTCGTGGGTTCAAACTTACACCGCAGACATGAAAGCATTTGCGACCGTTACTTAATGACACGAAATTGTAATTGACTGCCTTTTTGGGAAATAAAGTTGCCCAATTAGGGCATAGTGTTGCATAGGTCACACTTTAGAACACATTTTCAGTGCATTTGCAGCGGGAATAAATGCCTTCATGCCTGCAGTGTTACCCTCGCTATGGACTCAATTGTTGCATGAAACTCTCACAGGTGATCTCGGTGAGCTCATGCCGAGACATCGTGAGAGCGTCGTGCCTCAGTTGAATGCCGCCGAAGCCCACACCTCATAAAATTCGATCTCCGTGCGCTTACTACCGCTTGAAGCTGATAATACATAGCCTCAGCTATCGCCGTTCCGCGGACTCGCTCCATCATCAGCATAGCCTGAACTTGATTCCGGGAAGACTTCTCCGTCGGCGGATAGTTGAATAAGATTTGATGGGTCTCAGCCTGACGCCGAACCCAACCATCATGTTTCAAACGGAGTTCCGTTTAGAAGCGTTCTGGCCTGTTCAGTATGGTTGCAGGACTTTAGCAGGGACACGGAGGCGTGATTATTGGTGCCTAGACGTGATGTCCCCGATATCTCAGCCTGCATAAGAGTACGCTCGCCGCGAACGTTTGCCCATTGTTCGTATTCAATAATGGCTTATCTGAGCATGGAAAACCGTTCATCTAAAACACTCGTGTCGGATCCTGCTGTACTGGGAAGTCCAGTTGACATGATAAGAGAAGAAACTGGTCACAAGCCCGATTGGAAGTCCTATGACTACGTTGTGGTTGGGGGAGGTAAGCAATGCTGGATGTCTCTACATGATATACTGCATGTTCAAGCAATACCACAGGCACCGCGGGTTGTGTGGTTGCTTCCCGGCTCTCCGAAGACCCTTCAGTCACGGTACTGCTCGTTGAAGCTGGCAATAGGTTCTTCGTCATGCTTTCTATCGGTCGCGACTTCGCTTACACCCTCAATTTCAAGTCATGAGAATGTTTTCTTGAGCAAACTTCCGCTTGGATTCGCACAGCTGTTCAAAGGATCATACGACTGGCAATATGAGACGACGTACGATTATCTTCTGAGCCAGCAAGCCCATTTTTTTAGTATTTCTGCAGAGCTCAGCAGCATCTTGATAATCGCTGAGTTTACTGGCCGCGAGGTAAAATCTTAGGCGGTACGAGGTGAGCCACCAAAATACCGCAGCCCATTCGATGAAGAACACCTTCATAGTGCTACTAATGCTCTCATATATCACGAATGTGCTCCGCAAGGTAAGAGTAGTTGTTACAGGGTCATGGATATATGATCTGGACTCCCGCAGACTTTGATGCGTGGGTCAAGCAAGGGGCAGTTGGGTGGAGTTATGAAGTAATGAAGAGGTTCGTCGAACGATGTGATTAACTTCACGGCTTAACACGTATTTGTAGGTGCTTCCAAAAGGCTGAGACGTACATCTTTGACCAGCAGTCTCCGATTGGACCATCTGATCATGGTCTATCGGGCCCGTGGAAGCATAGAGGTGTTCCCGCGGCTGTGAAGCTCATTCAATTCCCATGATGTTCACCGCCAGCTAATTGCAGACTTTCAGCCCATTTGCTGGAAGGTCATTGCAGCATGCGAGAACATGGGGATCCGCCGTTTGACGTGAGCCTCACATCGGCCGTTATTTCCGTATGCTAACTGGTGTAAATAAGAGACATGAATACTGCTGAGGGCACATTGGGTGCGGGACCATTCACTGCTTGCATGGACGAGAAACATCGCAGTATGTGCCAAGAGATCTTCGCAATGTATTACACCATGGCTCATTCTGATGTAGGAAGTTCGACTGCAACAGCATATCTCACTGCACACGTTCTTGATCGGCCCAATCTCACGGTCGCAGTGGGCATTACTACAGAAAAAATCCACTTCACTACAACGTCGGATGGCGGTCATAAGGCATCGGGCATACAGATTGCTTCTCAAAGAGGAGCTACGCAGTACAGAGTAGGCGCCAGAAAAGAAGTCATTTTATGTGCAGGCGCAATCGGCTCTCCTCAGCTTCTCATGGTATCGGGAATAGGTTCTGCGGCTCATTTGCGGGACATGGGTATACCTTTAGTCCGTGATCTCCCTGCTGTGGGACAGAATTTATTAGATGTATGTTGTCTACCATGCCGTGTCGCTCAATTCTGACTTGAATGGTTGAAAGCACTTCTCTGCGGGTGCGATGGTTTTCAAAGCAAAACCGGGGACCACGTCCGACTTCCTATTGAAACCATTCTACGGTCTCATAGCGCTGTTGCAATGGCTGATTTACGGTACTGGGGGTATGGCGGCTCTCGCGAATCAAGTCGGAGTCTTCATCCGTGCCGATGATGAAAGGTCAGTTGGAATGCTGGATTAGTTATGCCGCTAACAAAGTGTTCCAGGTTGCCATTCGACGCAGCTGGACAGCAAGCACCTCCGACATCTGATCTTAGCTCTGAGCCTGATGCTCCAGATATTGAGTTTGTCGTGGCTCCCTTCGCGGTCCTTGAGAATGGCTTCAAGAAACCGCCTTTCGGAACATACGGTATCACAGTGGTAAGGAATGTACCATGAAGCCTTGGATCGTCTTAACAGATTTTCAGGGTGCTGTTTTGCTCAAACCTCAGAGCTCTGGAACAGTCATTCTGCGATCGGATAGTATCTGGGACTACCCGTCTATAAATGCGAAGTATGACCTTTGACCCGTTAGCCTAATTATCGTCATCTCATCCTCCTTAATGCTTCAGCTATCTCTCCGCGGAGACGGATATGAATATCATGCTCAAGGCCGTTCGTTTCTTCATGCGTCTAGCACGCACTGAGCCATTGGCTTCTGATCTTAACCTTGGACGACCCGCGGAGATGATACCATTTGATGAGTTCTGGGTTAGCAATGCTGATACTGATACGGTGAGTGACGCGGAAGCTTTTATTCTCTAGTCATGACCACTTTGTGATGTATGATGTAGGTATCGGACGATGACTTGAAAGCTTGGATTAGGAAGTATGGGCAGTCCGCCTGGCATCCGGTATGCCGTAATGACGTCCGCACCACTCAGTCTGTTCTGACGTAGAACTAATGCAAGACATCATCGGCAAAGATGGGATCATCTCCTGTCGACAGTGTCGTCGATTCGCGATTGCGGGTGCATGGCATCAATGGCTTACGAGTCGTGGACACCTCTGTATTTCTGGATCAAGTCTCTGGACACCCATGCGCAGTTGTCGTGGCGGTTGCCGAACGAGCTGCAGAGTTGATTGCAGGAAATGATTAGTTCAGGCCTTGCCGTATCTACGCGAAATTCTGATCATGTATGAAGATGCTCAACGAAGTCACGCTTGGGCATATGGACTGTGTACTGTGAACTTTGGCATATCATACAGAGTGTGCAGTGACGGAAGGACTGAATCAGAGCAAGCAGCCAAGGTATCTCTAGTGCATACAAGGTGATGCATCGTGTGTACGTGCTGCAACTAGAATTTTCAAAAGCGCTGCAGCTCTGCCACTTCCCTGGTCTAACTTCGAGCACTTCAGTGGTTCACACGGACCCTTGTTAGTGTACTCTTTGATAAGCTGCCTGCGTGCACCTGTTGCTTTATTTCGAGCGGGTGTAGGGAGGTCGAGCCACGTTGTGGCGGGTGCCCTTTGTACAGGACAAAAATGAGCGATGGATAGAAGGCCGTTCAATCAACACATGAGATGCGCTTGGATATGGTGCCGTCTAGTAATTAGTCAGCATATCTCGCTCTGCAGCTGAGTTCGTGACATTCGGTGAAGTGTCAACGACCCAAAAATCAACCTGAGTTTGCCACACAGACAGTGCTACTTGACGATCAAGCTCTGGGAAGCATACCGACTGAGTCAATGGAGAAACATGATTGGCTACATCGAATATCAGAACCACGATGCCCTCTGAAACTTCCCAAGCCTATCAGAAATTGGCATCTTAAACGTTGGCATGACAGCATCGCTACACAAGCTGAATATTTGTTTGAGGAGATTATCCAGACATGAACTGGTTCCACTAAAGGTTGAAGTCTAGTAGCTGATGAAATAAACGTGCACACTCGTTGGCATCGATGGAAATACGGCAAAACGAATGAAAAATCGGTCCTCTCTACAAAGCCTCTTCGTCGTTAGAACGATCCATGCTAACCAGTTCAATCGGTTTGTTTGCCTTCGCATGAGATGCTTAGTATTAGTGAACGGGCGAGAAGCGGCAGTCAAAAACTCACAGCACGGAGACTACCATCATGAGTACTAGTCGATGTGCTGGAGACGTTAGGGGGTTGAACGACTTTGAAGGCTATAGTTGACGGCACTGTCAACTCTATGTCCGTGCTACGGAGCCGCTTGCGCACGTTCAGGCTGTTGAGACAAGTCAGCATATGCCTAGTGCCATTGCTCGACACTGACGTAGCAAGAAGTGAGTTCACATATACTAGCCGCAGTGTAAGACTACGACCATCTTGTAAAACCATTGAGGACGTACGCTTCCCAACCGCCATGTGAAATGGGATCCAGTAGAATCTTCCAGGTAGTGAGACATTCTGAACATGAATCAGCTTGGTAGTTCTCAAATATCGCGCAATGCGTACAAGGATGAGGAACAATGTTTGAACGACCCTAAAAAGCAATCTCATTTTCGAACTTAGAGTATGATAATGTGATCATGTCACGTACGATGTCAATCCTCCTCTGTTCACAGCGTATAGCATCAATTTATCAATGAGTTCATTTGTGCTGGAAATTCCATTCAATTAGCACTGCGATGAAAATAGAGAATGAATGTCGTACGTCTTGATCATCCCACGGCCACTATGCAGGTAGTAGCACAAACTGCCAGTAATCAGTATATCGCATAGAGCTGCAAGCCCTTGTACGCATCCTCCGACGATCTGGTTTTGATGCAGGTGAAAAAGACCACGATTACGTAGAAAACGTCATACCAAAACCTCCCTCGAGGATAAGCTAGCAGCTTGAGGGTGCAGGAACCTAGAACAGGCCAATCAGATATTAATTATAATGGGTATATGAAGCTCACAGGTGTGCCGTGGTTTCTAAGATGAGCTGTTATAAGCATCGAAAGCACGAATGATTACAGATACGTACCAATACCAGTACCTATACTCAACCTAAGCGAGAGTTCTGGAGGCTCGATATATTCACTTACCGAGTGCTCCAAAGGCAAGGATTGACTTGAGAATAACATGCTCCTCAGCGATGACGAAAGTCCCTATGACGATGTACTCACGATGCCACCGGTGACGAAAACATTATTGTTACTGACTGAGCTAACATTAGGCGGCCATCGACACAGATCCTGGAAATTACCTACAGTGCCACAGACGTTCAGCGAAATAGCTATATGTAACGTTAAGTCAGTGTTGGGACATATTGAAATTAAATATATCTGTCTCGCAAGCTGGTATAGAGTACGCACCCCTGAACGATGAAGGTAATGAGGACCTAGAAAACGAACAAAACGTCCATATTCTTCAAGCAGACTCTAGATCACATGGGACACATACCGTGATCCCGTTCTCGAGCTTGTACATGTCAAAGGTATACGACGTCAATAACATCTACCTGCACGTATCGATCACCAATGACTACCTACCCGGAAGCTCCTGACATGCACGCCTTGACGATTAATGTCGTGTTCACGTGAGTTGCAGCCAAGTACTCACCACACCATTGTCGCGTCCGCAAGTACATTTTCGAAGTTCAGAATCCAGTACGTGTATATAGAATGCGCGGTAAGGATGGTGGTGAGAATATCTAGAGCGCTGAGCGTCACAGAATGGTAAGAGGCTGACTCATCCAGAGTTATAAAATTAACACATACAAAAGCACTGCGACCTGAACAGCCCTACTATGAAGTAGCCGACAATGACGGGTTGAAGTTCATCGAACTTACTATCAACTTGAGCGATCGGCCGTCGTTGGTATAGTCGCGATAGTACATGTGAGTTTGCAAAACCGTGATTCCAAATATCCTGTGCAGCTTGTCGTTAGCCACCATAGTGAGTACATATCTATGACATGTAGCTGACGCCGTTGCTATTGCGAAGCCAATCAGTTGACAAGCAAACGACTCTAGGAGGGAATGTAGAATGGATTGCGCCATTTGAGCTGGGCAAGAACTAGGGGGTCCAATTTGGCATGAAGCTCGCGCTTGATAAACAATTGAAGCACATATATACTCACCGAGTGATTGCTGCACAATGAAGGTAGTGATTTCATGGGAAGTTTCCAGGACCGTCGGCTGTCACAAGGAGTACAAGCGGCACCGCGTGTTTCACAGAGTTCTGATTTTTCCAATCAAGAAGAGACATCATATCAGCTTTCTCCGGAACAAGCATGCAGTGTTTGACCAATAAGGCACGAGGTACGGTGTGTTCCGTCCTGCACTGGTTCAGCATAACAGACTTTCCGTGGAATCGGAGCAATCAACTTGTGGAGTAACTTTGAGCAGTTGTTTCTTCGAGAGCATACAGTCGGATACCAATTGAATCAGACCTCTTCTTGATAGATGCACCACCCATCGGCGATAGGAGCTGCGCGTTACTATCAGACTACTAGCAGATATTACCTGATTTAGGCTGCAACAGTATTGAAGCCGGCGACCTTGGGCATCAATGATATGTTGCAGAGGCTTCTTGATTGACGCGCGAATCCGAATAATCTTCTCCCGCCACCCCAGACATGGAACCATTTTTTTTACAGTTACATATGCATGCTATATCCGGTTTGGTATTTTCTCTTTACAACATGTATTTGCATGTGTTGCATTTGCCATAGTATATTCCAAGTTTGGCACTTCACTCGCTATAGTGACAGATTGTGTGACATTTGCAGCTACTTTTGTAGTTGGTGGCATCACATGAGCAAGAGCATCACGTGCAGGGAAAAGACAGGTTGTAAGACTCTGAAATTTCTATAAGACGAGCGCTGCTCTACACATGGGGTTTCAGGCCTCTATTTATACGTAGAACCTGTAGGTAATTTTTTAGGGGTTCAAAAGAGTGCAGGGGTGCGAAACGAGTGAAACAGTTGAGTAAAAGTGGGGAGTGACTCAAAAAGGCAATGGCTCAGCCACTGCCGAAATGGGGTTGTGGCTGAGGGAACAAGTGTCGGCGCTCTACGGAGTGCACCATTACATACGCCCTCCAGCCATCGTACACGATGGATCATGGCTGTATTAATCAGTGTCCATGCAGTTTGCATCAACGGCGTCCTTAGTCTTCACAGTAGTCGTGCAAGCTTGACACGTAGTCTTGTTAACAGTGACTGCAGTACCCCGAGGCTGGGCTGAGGTGTTCAGTGTCACCGCAGATGGGCCTGATGCGGTGATCATAGGGCTCGGAGCCGTGGGGCAGTTGCGAAAATGTGAGATATGCTGAACAGTGTATAACTCCAAACATATCGATCATGATGAGCCTAATCAATGACATGAGTCTGTTTCAAGCTTGTTGTATCGCGATGCTTTTCACCTTCAACTATCGGGCTGGACACTATGACTTGCAGCAACTGGGAAGGAAGTTGTTCCAATCAACACCATGTCTTGGAAGGCATCAAAGTAAATGCTGGCCTGGTGCGATCTCTGTGAGCACTCCAGTAACCACCTCTCATGAAACACCCAGGAACACGCCATCAACATCCAGATGTCAAACTCTTGCTGTGCTACAGATGCTCAGCCACAGCACAGTCAGCGAGCTGTCATGACTACCTTATCCTCATCGAGCATTGGCTAGTCTGTCTGACAGCGCACTTCAGACTCAGGCAGAACACGTTTGACCCATCTGATTGGCCATTCCTCACCCAGAAATGAAGTGATCCACTGTTGGACAAATGCTTGGACTCTATTGACAGTGCGGCCAAGAAACATATAACAAATAAATGTGCATCAGAAGAGCCTGAATGGCAGTGAGCCATTAAGAAGCTTGGAAGCAGCAAGTCGCTCAGAACGGCTGCTTCACAAGTCCACAGTTTCACCATAATTAGAGCAGAACGTATGCAAATGATGAGATAGAAGTGTAACAAAGCATGACTGAAAGACAAGAAAAGGTTCAGAACATGATTGGTGGTGGGTAATGCAAGGGAACATAGATTGATGAGCAATTGGCTATGCCTGGAAGTCTCCATGAGGATATGTTGTGATCTAATCATCAAATGTTAGATGTTGCCAGATATATATGATGATACTAAGTACCAAAACAGGCTTATGTGGTCCATGAGGCCAAGCTAACGTTGCAGTTGCAGCCGCTGTTCACGATACTTCTCAGTCAACTTGTACATTTCATCCCTGCCATGTTCAGCTGCTTTCTTCCACCCTTTTCCATCTTCTATCTCATGCTCGAGGTCATTCAACAGTTGAGTATTCATATCACATTGTTTGAGGAGTAATTTGTGGCATTCGTTGAGAATGTACCTGCTGTCAGCCAGCGTGCAAAGTCTCATGATCTCCACAGCAATCATTGGATCCCTGTGAAAGGAGTCAATCAAGACTTATGGCAGAACATGAGAAGTCTACACACGCAGTGACTTGCTGCCTGGAGTATATGTCTGTTTCATCCTCCGTGCCAGCCAAGAAGACTTACTTCATACTCTGAATATCCACAACGGATGTACATTCTGGACATGTAGGCTCCGTTTCCACATTACTATTATAGAGATGTTGCGTGAGGCAGTGGTGGCAGAATACATGACCTGTGAGAAAAAAACAAAATGAAACATAGGACATTTGGAAGATAGACATAGCCCTTAACCACAAGATCCAATGATGACTGTTTCCACGAGGGCAGATGCATTTTCTGCAAGCCTACCTTCACATATTCTGCAGAGAGTGTGCATAGCATGGAGGTGTGAGATCTGAAAATGGAGCCAGTGCCTGCTACATGCTATATATAAGGGCTGAATGAAACAGGCACCCTCGACTTAGGCTTTGTTCTACATCATGATTTGATAAGTGACTCGATGACTCCCACTCTACTCGATGAACGCATATGACATGTCATCCCCTTTTGCATCATGCTTGATCTACTGATCACCGCCAACGTCATGATGTCACAAACAGACCATGAAACTGTGCTGTCCTGGTGCACAACCCAAACAGGCAAGAGCTCACCGGGTGGCCGCTCTGGATAGCCCTTGCTGACTTGGATCCGTTCCTTGAGGAGAAGACGACCATGCGTGATGAGCTAGTGATGGTGGTGAAATTTCTGTTATGCCAGCCCAGGAGCCCTCACTCGGGATTCCTCATCATGTCTGTGATCTTGCTCCTCCACCTCTGCTTTGGTCAGGAGGTATGAAGAGAAGTAGCTTGTCAAATTGGTAGAGACATGAAGAGAGAAAAGAACTAGAACATGAATGTATGTGATACACGTGCTACTCTGTGGTCGCTGCTTCATATGATCTGCACACACATACCATTTCACAGAAGTGCCTGGCAAGAAAGGATTGGCCATGAATAGGTCAACGACAATGTCACAATTTCAGCACATTGCACGGCAGTGTGCCAGAAAGGAATGGTCACAAATACTTGACAGCAATGTATATATTAAGGATCATCCGCAGTTCGTGCACGGACTCGACAGTGAGCAGCTCAGACTCTCCTTCAGGTTCATGCCGTGGAGCTCGACATGTCCTCTGGTAGCATTAACCATGTGGCAGCGAGCCCTGGCATGACCACTGCTTCGGGTTCACACATTCTGCCCATCTCCTCTGACACATAGCTCGACATGCTTGACAAACTCATGCATGGCTGGCCCTCTCTGTCTTGAGCCTGTCTGAATGAGCTGCCCATGCATGGCAATGCTGGTCGGTCCACTGCAAAGATCCAGCTTCCTCACCTCTGCACAAAATTTCTCAACACATCTTCGGAGTGACGAGAACATGCAGACTCACCTGTCCATTCCATGCCATAAGCACCCAAAAAAGGTGGAGGTCATCATTTGCATGATGCCTCAGCTGCTATGGCTGCTCTGCGTTGCTTTTCTACTCCTGCTGCTTGATCCATCCTAGCCCCTTGATTGGCAAGTGGAGTGAGGATCTGGGCTGAGAATGATATGCCTTGCTATGTCCTGTTCAGATGATATACTCTGTTAGGGACTGTGATTGATCACAATGTATCTCAAAGCTCACCATGAGATATGCATTCAAAGTATGTGAACATCCTTCTCGACACTCTTGATGGCAGATGCAGACTGGCATGCAAGCTTCGCCGGCGTTCCACTCTGCAAGGGTGGGCATGTGGGCACGACAACTTCCACCAATGCTAGCCTGAGTTTCACTAGTGCTATCCAGCTGTTGATGATGGCAGACAACCTGTCAAATTTGATGAGATCCTCAGCCATGTGCGTGGTGGACTCTCGAGTACGAGTGAGCACCTCATTGCGAGGCAATGGGCTGTCAGACTCTTCAATGACATTCTCTACTTCCTGACTCATCGCACCAACGATCTCCACCAGATTCTTGGCTTCTAGTTCGAGGAACCTGATATCTTTGTTCTGCGACTGGGCTTCTGCTCTGGGATGGGATCTTGCAGTAGCTCTGGGGCTTTCTCCTCCATCTTCATCTCGCAGTCGAACACTTCCATGATCTGCATATCCCACAGTTGGTGACAGGCTATGACTGGCTTGGGAGGCTCAGTGGGGTAGTCCTCAGCCTTTATGCAAGAAATTAGCATCGTCATTCTTGCACTTGACTGAGCCTCATCTCACCACAGAGTGCTCGATGTCACTATGCCAGCAGGAAAACTGAGAGGCTCCTGTGAGGGAAGATCTGTGTGGCTTTCTGCATCTGCGGTCTCAACATCATTGTCGAAATGGACCTTTAAGTTGCTCTTCTTCTGAGTCAATGCTCCGAGCATCTGCATCCAAGCCACCCATAATGTAGGTGGCATTGCCATTTGGTGGGGTCAATTGTGCTCAAGAGAACGGGCCATGCGAAGAGTGCTAAAAGACAAGAGTCTGCAATCCAGCCCCTAAAGGCCTCGGAGTCTTTGCCATCACATCGAGGTTTATCAGCATGTGATCAGCTTTGGACAGCTGCTCCATGGCAAAGAATGAAGGTTCAGGTAGGTCAGATATATCTCCCGGCATCGAGGGCATGTAAAAAGTTCATTTGTGAAGCTTTAAATGACTGCTTCATTGGCATCATGGGAAGCAGCTTGTGTGAAGGACTATGCAGCAATGGTGGAGGAGTCTCAGGCATTGGAGAAGGATCCACTAGATAATATTCTGTGTCACCTTCACCCTCCACCTCATTCTGAACTTGAGAATGAATGAAGAGTCGAGTCAGCCTCTGCAGTCGCTATTTCTGCCAGCTGCCCTGGCAGTGTACTGGTGATCAGTGTGAGCTCATCATCTGTGCCTGAGAGACAAGTAGACAGTCAAGCTTCCTTCTACAGTAGCACTGCAAGATGACTGACATATCGAAGAATCTTCCATCTTGTATGACAGACTGGAATGATTCATGGTCAAGCTCAGATTGCGTGTCAGCAGATGACATCAATTTCTACTTCAGCTTCGGTTCAGGATCCGAGCCTGAAGCTGGTGGCAGAATGGGCTCAATGGTAACTTCTGTATTTTTTTTTGTACATTTATTTGTATACCACGCTATGCACGGTTGGATGGAAGTAAATACAAAAGTGGACTACACGAGGAAGTGTTGACATGCAGACAATGAGTAAACAAAGGAAGCGGGGTACTAGGTGCTGGGAAGAAAAGGTTTATCATGATCTGCAGTTCATTCGCAAAGTAAGCATTGAGATAGTGGAACACCGCATTTTGATGAGTGGCTGCTGGTAGAAATTGCCCAGAACCAGAACTGCTTGATGTGCGCATCATGGAAGGCATCTATAAGTGCAGCATGTCACTTCACCACTATTAAGAAGATGAAGTACCTAAGTGTTGCTCACCTTATTGTAGATGTAAATGACATATAACAGCTACTGTGGATTGGCGTCCAAAAGGACAGCAGCAGGATATTGTGAAGACAAGTTGACCGGGCTTAGCGATACCATGCCTTCACCTTCACCTTGATCATGCAAGGATGAAAATGGACCGATGTCATGAAAACTGTAAGAACGTGAATCTCAGTATTCATCATGCTCCACCAGTACTGCATAATGAGATGATGCAATGCAGGCATCCTCCAGCTAGCCTGAATCATGAAGATCCTTGAGTAGAAGTCCTGCAAGAGTATTATAGCTCAAGATTGATTGCAGGAATGCTTGCACGCTTGCATGTTGGCTCAAAGTGACAAGAGGCATTGAACGATGAATGAATGTACGTCTTATGGTAGGAAGATCCAGTCCTATGAGAAAAGTAGCTGATGAAGGTTCAGCAAGCATTTTATAGAGAATTTTGATAGCACAAACCAGGCTGCATGGTGTCAGCACCATTGTTAGCTGGCATCTGTTGAGAGACTCTGGCAGGATTGCTGTCCATGGCATTATACTATATGATGAAAGATTGAAATGTTAGATGTGTGACATAGTATGCTATGCTACTCACAGTGTCTGCCATGATGCCAGTTTCAGTGAGTCCAGAAGAAAGCAGCAATGTCTCTGGAGTAGCTGTGTTGTTGAAAAGTGATAAGATGGATTTTAAGTATTTATCGCAGAAAAAAAGATAAAGATCTAATGAGTAATGCCTCTGTTACATGCAGCATGCTCTTCCTGCATAATGCTAGCTATAAGATCATCTTCATGCAGGTTTCGCAAGGAGAGTATCTGCTGTAAGCATTCATCCTCTGAAGCTGCTTCCATATCAAAATTACTGAGAGACGCAGTGTCACGGTAACACCGGACAAGAGATCAAAAAGACTAAAAAGAGACAGTCACGTGGAACGTGCAGCTCTGATCCCCCTGATCCCAAAAGTATCCCCCTGAACCCTATGTGGCATAAGAGCCTGTTGACTTACTGGTCGACGTGGCAGACGCAGGAAGGGGTGAGAGATATATGAAGGAGCTGGTGAGCTCAGTAGGTGCTATAGGTAGTAGACGAGGAGAAACAATCTGAGGTTTCGTCCCCTACATGGCTGGTCTTATATACAC